CACATACGTGTATGTATTCATGCTTATGTGTTTGTGTGTATATGTGTGAAGGACTTTGCTAGAAAATGGCACATTCCAATGATACCTACACATCTATTTGTGTATGTATGCATGTGTGAAGGACTTCTGTTGGAGAATGGCCATTCCAGTTTTATCTGTATGTGTGCTTATGTGTATGTGTGTATGTGTGTCATGTGTGGTGGGCTTCTGTTGGAGAATGCCACATTCCAGTGATCTTTTCCAGGGCAGCCTAGCAAGGTAGCTTTTGGAAACCCAAACTTTGCTCCCACTCCCTCAGCTCAACTGGCACCTCTTAATCTGCTTCCCCCACAGCCTGGCTGTTCTTGGGCATGGGGATGCTAACTATGGACAGACAAGACTCTCATCTGGAGCCTAAAACCCAGTCACCTTAGGGAAGCCTATTGAGGAATACTATTTTAAGATGTGTTACATTCGTTTATGCTGTGGAATATTTAATGTTGCAGAGATGTATTGCATTCTTTTATGTTGCATTTGTTTAACTCTGTAAAACTGTGTTACTTTGCCTGTCTAAAACACATGATTGGTCTGATAAAGAGCTGAATGGCCAATAGCGAGATAGGGGAAAGGATGGGCAGGGCTGGTGAGCAGAGAGAATAAATAGAAGGAGAAATGTAGGCTCAAAAGTGAAGAGGGAGGAGCAAGAAAATGAAAATGAGGAGAGGAGTACACCAGGGACCAGCTATATAGCCACATGCCACACAGCCACATGCCACACAGCCAGCCACAGAGTAAGAAGGAAAGAAATATATACAGAATAAGAACAGGTAAAATGCCCAGATGCAAAACGTAGCTAAAGAGAAATAGGATAATTTAGGTTAGAAAAGCTGACTAGAAACAAACCAAGCTAAGGCCCAGCATTCATAAGTAAGAATAGGTTTTCGTGTATTTAGTTGGGTGACAGGGCTCCAGAGAGTGAAAACAATCTGGCACACACAGCCAGTCCCATTGGCCTGTGGGGCCTTGGGCTCCACATCTCCAGGTCTTCCTCTTCCCACGAGTCTGAAGTTTGCCAAAGTTTTTTCTATACGTGGCCTGTGTGACTGGGGAGTGCACCCACCCTAGCTGGGAGGGTGCACTCATCTTCATGTTGTCAGGGCAGCATTTGGTCTCTGCTGACAGCTGAGTGGTGGCTTGGACTCTTCCTTCCCCTGAGGAGATTCTGTCTAGAACAATCCTCTGCTTCTGTTCAACCTCAGCCTGGACCTGGTTTTCCACACGATCCTAACGTAACAGCAGCTGGTCAGGACAACCTGTGTCGGTTGGGAAAAGAAGTGACATAGCCACTGGAAAGCATTGCTAAGATGATGGTTCCTAGCAGCAGCTAGCGGCTTCTTTTAAAGTGAGTACAGCCCAGCCAGCATTCTCCTCCATCTTGCTTCTCTCTTCCCTTGAACAGGATGGTGGAAGTTGGTGCTGTGGTGGAGATGTACAGGTGTCTCCAATACAAATTAGCAGGGCTCAGTGAGTCTGGATGGGTTCCATGTTGTAACCTTGATCTTTTGTTAGACTTGCTGAACTGTGGCTTTTCATCTTTAAAGGGAAGCGAATACCTGTTGTGAAGGATTGGGATAAGGGTATCTGGAATAGACTCATAGGCCAGTTGAGCTGGGAGACAGGCTGATTGATGCCCAGTGCTTTGCTGAGCTGGGCATGTAGGCAGCTTCACCTCTGAGAAGCCAGCACAGCGATCTCTTACTGGACCTAGTTTTGGAATTTTCTCTTTCTCCTTGAAAGGCTGTGGGGCATAGGATTTGAGTTCTCTGCACTGATTTCTGTGATGGAAACTCTCAGGTCTGTTGTGGGGAAAAGCACTGATATATCTCATCCTTACCTGAAACCCAGGAGGGACTGGTTGACAGTGACTTATTTTGTTTTAGATTTGGAGACAAGGTGTCTATCTCAGGCTTGCCTTAAGCTCACCATATAGCTGAGGATGACCTTAAATTCCTGATCTTCCTTTTTCCTGAGTGCAAGGATTCAGATGTGCACTAGCACACCCAGTTAATATGGTTCTGGAGCCTAGGTACACTAGACAGACAAACGTTCCATCAATGGAGTTCCATCCTAACACCACTGAGGCCATTTTTAAAGCCCAGAGCTGAATTAAGAGTAATTATTTGTGGAAAATGCATGAGGTGGCAGTCTCATATATATGGGAATATATACCATACTTCATAGCGTTGTCTGAAGGTTTAGAAGACTGGACATTGTGTGTGTGTGTGTGTGTGTGTGTGTGTGTGTGTGTGTGTGTGTGTGTGTGTGTGTGTACAATCTTTGATTGCTCTTTGTTTAATTGAGGCAGGGTCTCCCACTGAATGCTCAAGGCTTCCAGCTTGTCCAGCTAGCCAGGCTACCCTAGGAAGTGCCACGTTTCTGAGCAGTTCTGGGATTGTGGCACACCTGCTCGGCTTTTTACATGAGTGCTGATGATCCAGGCTCCAGTCCTCACAATCATACAGCAAGCTGTTTATACACAGAGAACCCTTTCCCTGCCTGGCACCAGACATCTTATAACTCATTATACATAATGTGTTTTTAGAAAATTTGTAGCTGAAGCTTTAATTACTCAATAAATATGATGGCTGTATTATCATTTCCTGCTAGCTGTGTGTGTAAAGGTTGTTTATACCAAGAACACAGACTGGGCTTAAGATAATTGATAAGAGATGGATTTAAAATATGGGCTGGATATTACTGGATTGCCTCATCCAGCCTTAATAGGAGAGTAAGTGCCTAGTCTCATTGCAACTTGATGTACTTTGGCTGGCTGATGGCCATGGGCAGCCTGGCTGTATCTAAAGAGAAATGGTGGAGGAGGAGTGGATGGGGAGGGGGAGAGATAGTGGGAAGGTGGGGGCATTAACTAGGAGGAGGGGATTGAAGGGACCCTTTGGTTGAAAGTAAAATAAAAAATAAAATAAAATATGGTCTGGAAAGATGGCTCAGCAGTTAGGAATGTGGGCTGCTCTTGTAGAGGACACTCACAGTGGGCAGCTCGAGTCTTTTCATTCCAGCTTTGGTGGATCTGATGCCTCTGGCCTCTAAAGGCACCTGTACTCATGTGCACATGCCGACAGACAGACAGACAGACAGACAGACAGACAGACAGACACACACACACACACACACACACACACACACACCATTAAAAATAAATCTTGTTAAAAATTACTGTTTTCTTGTATTTGAAAAATTAAAATTTGAGCCAGAGTTAGGCAAAAGGAGAAAAAAATTAGAACACACAACTGTAAATGGATTGTAAAAAGAAGGGCTGTGGCCGAGTCTGTGAGACATCATGCATGTCCAAACAAAGAGCTCTACAAAGGATGACTTCATAGCAGTGTGAGCCACTCAGGACCATAGCAAATGGTGCTACTCACTGTGACTGAGCTTCTCACCACCGTTTGCCTGTTATCCGTGCTACAGATTTATGAATCCATTTTAGTTAAGGTAGTAAATTCTACCTTATTAGGCCACAACAACATGCACAACGCCATTTCTAGTACAGCGTGACTCTGATACTCCTTGATTACAGAAGGATTTGACTCTTCAGCAAGGGTGAGTGAAACTGATGGTTGTGTGGTATGTAAATACTGGCCTCAGTTCTGGAACTGACAGCTCAGCGTGGATTTCACACCCGATCTCAGTGTCACTGTGCTCACGGGCATTGTTCGCCAGGTCAGATCCACTCCAAAGGAGGCAGGTGTGTGCACAGCTGTGGTTGAAGCTGTCTCAGATTCACATGGTGGTGAGGTCACCTCTAGACTCAGAAGGCTCAGTGACGGGGTTGGATGGGGGTCTGGTGTGTGTTCTGACCGAGGCCTCTTCTGGATGACCTAAGGTTGTTACTTGAGTGTTGTATTTCTCTAAGAAAAGTAACCCATGTGTGCTAACCAGGGCATCAGGAATGGCTTCCACTTAAGGAGGGGCAGAGAAATTTTGGAGGAATGTGCACTCCTCTTGAACAAAGAGAGTCTGTTAAAAAACATCCAGAGGCCCAAGGTCAACTTCAGGTGTTGTTTTATAGGCGGTGTCATTTTTGTTTTCTTTTTTTGAGTAAAAGTGATACTGAGATTGGGTGTGAAATCCCCTGAGATGTTATTTATTGAACTGAGCCCAGGATGCAAACATGCCGTGTAATCAGGATGTGAGCACACATCCATGTGGAGACCAGAGGTCAAGCTCTGGTGTTGTTTTACAGGGGGTGTCCATTTTGTCATTTGACACAGTCTGTCATTAGCCTTTGGCTTACCAATATGGCGATGCTGGTCGGCCAGCATCCCCCAGGGGTTAGCCTGCCTCTGCCCTCTAACTGCTGGGGTTACAAGCATGCACCATCATGTCTGGCTTCTGGGGTCAAACATGGGTCCTATTGGTTGCCCCACAAGGCCTTGAACAACCAAGCTGTATGTCCATCACCAACTATTCATTTAAGAGAGACCTCTAAGATGCTTCTTTAGAATGTTTTCTTCCTCTTTGTAGTAGAGTGTGCATTAAATGACTCCTCTCGAACAAAGGGAAATCAAGTTGGCATTAATTCTTTCCCATTAGAGAACTCTCAATACTACAGCTGTGCCTCTCACAAGATTCAAGGGGCTCCGCATCACTGTGAGGGCAGGAAGGAACTTGAGGGGTCACCTGCTAGACCCCTTACGTTACAGTTGGGGTCCAGGCAACTTGCCACTGTGGCTCACCTGGGGAGTGGGTGATAGCTTTCTGACATCTAACTGTCCTTTATTTGGTTTGAACTTTTTTGCATTTGCTGAATCTATCTATTTTGAAATGTTGACAGCCGCCCACTCTTTAGTATATGGTCAGAGCCAAGTGGAGCACTGGGCTGCACAGGGTGGTAATAAATATGAAGTAAGGGCAGTGTTCCCTCCGCTCTGCCTGTAACCGGAAATGATGTGTCTGGCGTACAACTGGACGGCTCACAACAGGTGTTTCTGGACTTTTAGGACAGAAGACTCCATAACAGACGAAGACAAGAGGAGGTATGTGTGCTGTCGCAGCTGGTGTCACGTGAGTGATTTTGGTCACAGTGCGTGAATGTCACCCACACTAGCACAAGGATGACGACACAGATTCCGTCAGGTGGGGTATTTGTGGGGACATGTGATCTGAAAAGGCAGAATCTCGGCTGTGACCCAGCAAGCTTGTGCTCTGTCCTGGGACTGTGGCTCTGTGCCATCCGTTCCCTTCCCTGAGCCGAACTGACTTCCCCTCCTCGCCTTTGCACGTCTTGTTCGGCTCACTCTTCCTCAGGTCCACTCTGCTCTGCTGTGCATTCCTGGGCTCTCTGTCTCAGTTTCTCTGTCTCACAGTCTTTCCCTATGAGGAAGTGATTTTTGAATATTCACATTGCCTAATACCACAGGGATCTCTGAATTTGTCTGATAAACGTGACTGATACCTGTCACATATCCCTCTACCCACCACTATACTACTCAGCTCATACTTTGCTCATTAAAAGCAAATTATTTAAACATTTTACTGATTATTGGAGCTATTTTTTCAAAGCCTCCTTTTAGCATAGAGAAACAAGAATTTTTAAAAGTCATGAATTATCTTCATAATTATATAATTATTGGAGTGGCTCATGCTTTATTTTTTATGCTTCTCTCTCTTTAGCACCCTTAAATTGATACAATTTCTTTTCTTAAAGAAACTATGGAGGAGTGTATGTTGGCCTGCCCTCTGAAGCTGCCAATATGGTGTCTAGTCAAGCCAAGGCAGTACGGAAAAGTAAGCAAGGGTTATGTGGGTTTTATTTCCTCAAAAAGAAGTGTATGTGTTTTCGTGTGTATGTATGGATGTGTGTGTTTATGATGTATGGATGTGTTTGTGTATATGTGGGTGTGTATGTGTGGGTGTGTGTGTTTATGATGTATGGATGTGTCTGTGTAGTTATGGGTGTGCGTGTGTCTGTGTGTATAGGAGTATTTGTGCATGCATTCATGGGTGTTTAGGTTCACATGCATGTGAAGGTCAGAGGAGAAACTCTGGTACTCTTCTTGGGAGCTGTCCTCTGTTTTGAAGACAGCGTCTCTCACTGACTTGGAACTTTTCAAGTCCTTTAGTCTGGCCGGCCAGCAAACCCTGGAGATCCACCTGTCTTTGCCTCCTTAGGACCAGGGTTACAGGTGCATGCCACTATGTTATTAGCCTTCTTTGTAAGATGTGGGTTTGGGGACTTAAACCCCAGTCACCATGATTATTTAGCAGGTACTTTACCTCACCTACTGTGCTATTTCCCTGGTTTCAAAAACTATGCAATTTATATTTTCCATTTACCTAACTTAACCTACCTGCTCCTCAGTGACAGTGAGCCATAAGTGACTCACAAGGAGCTATTTGCTCCTTGTCATATTTCCCAAAATTCCCACCCACATGTTAAAAGCAACCTCCATAAAATCCCAATTTGCTTAGAGGTTGCAAATTGGGCTTTTATTTATGTATATGATCCATGGCTACTCTTAATTTCTTGTTAATTTCATTGCTGATCAGTGTGAAACAGAAAGCCAGTTTAAACAAATTAATGGAGTGTTTGTGAGCATAGCATGAAGATGATGAGTTGACCAGCAGTGTGGTGATCATAGGAAAACACTGCTCACAGAGCTGGATCACATTGTTTTAAGCATTCTGTAATTATTTGTTTTCTGTTGCTGTTTGTTTTATGATTTTATTTAAATTTATTCAGTGTGTGTGTGTGTGTGTGTGTGTGTGTGTGTGTGTGTGTGGCTATTGTTTGTAGCTTTGTGGGAAATTATAATGAGCTTTTACAAAATGTAAACACTAACTGTTATTAATTTTCTCTCTAAGATTAGAGGAAGATAACACAATGTCTGGATACTCAAGAGGTACTGTGTATTTTCCTGAATTGACTTGTGTGCTTAGCCTCAGTGATGAAAGAACAGCTTGTTTCTGTGTGCGTGCATCTAAGAGCTCTCGCATGCCAGGGTGAGAGTTTCCTACTATGACTTGAGTGTTTCATTGTGAAGAGACTGAAGCTCAGGCCCATTTTCTTCTTAGCCACCATGGTTTCACTCCATTTCTTTCACATTGTACAGTGTACATTGTTTAGTAAGAACAAGCTGCATGCCTGCCTGAAACACCTGGGCTCATCAAAACTCGGGAGGGTTTAAGACTTCAAGGACAGCTGGGAGATCTGGGTCAGAGAGACTCTGGCTAGGAATCAGGAATCGACACACAGTGTGTGTCAGTAAAGCTCAAGAGAAGATGTGTCCATCACTGGTTGAGACGGGCAGTTGTCATGGTAACACAGGAGCAGGTATGTGGGGAGGGAGAATTTCTATTCACTTGGTCCCATTGTACATTCCATGTTAGGCTTTCCACTCTGCGCCGTTCTTGCCAAATACACTCATGATGTGGAATGTCTCTCTGTGTGCTGTGAGTATGTTTTTACCATTGGTAAATAAAGAAGCTGATTTGTCCAACAGCCAGACAGAATAGATCCAGGTGGGAAATCTAAGCAGAGATACAGGGAGAAAGAAGGCAGAGTCAGGGAGATGCCATGTAGCCATCAGAGGAGTAAGATGCCAGAGCAATACTAGTAAGTCATGGCTACATGGCGATATACGGATTAGTAGAAATGGGTTAATTTAAGTTGTAAAAGCTAGCTAATAATAAGCTAATAGACCAAACGTGTTATAATTAATATCAAGCCTCTGAGTGGTTTTTCTAAAAGTGGCTGCAGGACTGGACAGGATGAGAAACCTCCAGTTACACACCCAGCCTCTTTTGCAGCCTCCACCTTCAGGAGTGCTGATCCCAAAAGAGCCCACTCTCTGTTGGAAGTCAGCTTCTTCCACCTGCTGGCTGAATGGGTTACTTTCCCTTGTGGCCTCAGTCTTTTTTTTTTTTTAAGATTTATTTATTTAGTATATATACAGTGATTTATCTTCATACATGCCTGCATGCCAGAAGAAGGCATCAGATCTCATTAAAGATGGTTGTGAGCCACCATGTGGTTGCTGGAACTCAAACTCAGGACCTCTGGAAGAAGTGCTCTTAACCTCTGAGCCATCTCTCCAACCCGTGGCCTCAGTTTTATAATCCATCGAATGGGTCTTTTGCTTAGACATAAGGGTTGTTGTTAGGATTAAATGAAATAAATGGTAGCTTTTGCTTTCATCATTGCCCTCATCTTCTTGTTCCTCTTACTCTCCCTCCTCCCCCACTTACTCCCTTTCCCCCTCCCTCTCTTCATCTACCTCCCCTTCTAGAACCCAGACTCTAGCAGAACAGAAGCAAGAGTTCTTTGATGTTGAAGCAACCTCTTGTCCAGGGTCAGTCCTGGAGCTGGTGTTTGGGATGGGATGGCTCGTAGAGCAGGTTCACAGGCAGAAAGTTGGGGAGTTTCCCTACCAGAGGGCTGGGACACCTAGTGTGCTTCTTATGGGAAGCCACACAGCCACAGTGTGCCTTTTAAGGGAAGCCACAGCAGCCGTGGGATAGCTCTTTGGAGACTGTCTCAGCAGAGAGATATCGAAGGTTTAGACGGAACTCCCACCACCGGCTTTTGAAAACTCTCCAGGGATTCTTTTAAAGTCTAGTATGCAAATAGAGTGAATCCCCTTCCCATGTAGAGTTCTGGGTTTGCTGCCATTTTATCCCATGTAAAAGTAGGTGTGTGATCTGCCTCCTGTGCAGCCAGCCTGCACTGTCATCCCCTTCTAAAGAGGGAGGGCTTCAGAAGCGTAGGAACTGAGCAGAAGAGGTGTCCTGTAGACAGATCCCAGGAACATGGTTACCTCTGCTGCCCACAGACCGCAGGTGAACTATGCTGGGCCTCAGCTTTCTCACTGGGGAGTGAGATTTGATAGCTGTTTGCCTTTGTGTGAGGGTCAGAAGTTCCCACAGTGACGGTTCAGCAGTTACTGCTGACAGCCCACATGGCTTTAGGCTGAAAGAAATACGGCCTTGCTGCTCACGGACCCCAGAGTGTTCTTTGACCCTCTTCTGTTTCCTCCATTCTTTGATTGCATCCCCAAGTAGTCAGTTTGATCCTGGTTTCCTTTTTGCCTCGACTTTGAATTACCCGAAATGTTTTCTCAACTGAAGGGCTTAGCTGTCCATTTTCCTGAGTGACTATGTGTCCATCATTCTCCTTGTCCCTGACACAGTTACACCTGTGACTTTTCAGGCCAGTCGTTGGGCAGAATATTGATGAGAGGGCTGTCCTCTGGCTTTTGATAAAAAGGATAAGCTACACCGGTTTTGGCTAACGCCACACTGTCTTTCTGAAAGGAATTCACTCCTTGAGCTCATTTGGCTGTGTGTGTCTTTTTTTTTTCCCCAAATCAAGGACTGACCTCATCATCTTGATATCACTTACTCGATGATATGGATATGAAGTTCCTTATGCAGCTGACTGTAGAGTGGAAACCACAGCCACATAGCAGTGGCTTTTTGAGAGGCATCTTCTACCCAGGAGGGAAGTGGCAGCATAGGCCAGGTGTCAACTAAGCCAGTCAAAAGGAGGTTGTGTGACGGCTCTCCAGTGCCAGTGTGGACCAGCTCCATCAGTATCCCTTAGGGAACTCCACAGGCTTCGAGTGGCTGGAGCCTCTCTGCAGTTTAACATTGGGAGTGGGTAGAGTTGACTGGGTGACCCTGTGATGAATGTGGTGCTGATATGCACACAGCCTGGTTTGGCCATTGTTATTCTGTATTTTATTTGTAAATTGCATTTTTATAAGTTTCTTAGCATCCAGTTTTATGTCTTTATATAGATAGTACCAACATTCAGAACTATGCCGCCCAATAATAGATCTTGAGTAGCTGTTGATTGGCTATTGAACCTGTGCTCTACTTAAAAGCAAATCCAGTGACCAATCTGCAGGCTTGAGACGTGCTTTTATCTAAGTTGTGATTTTTGAGTATGCTAATTCTCCCCCCCCTTCTTTTTTCCTGTCACAGCTTGCTGATGAATTTGGAAGGAATTTGGCTCCAGGGACATTGTATCTTCAAAGAAATTCTGAAAGGTTGTCCCCTGCTGTGCCACCATTCCCAAATCCTAACTGTATAGTTAAAGCCATGGGTACATACTGAATGTTGTGGCCATAGAAAGAAATGGGTGAGACTTCGTGCTCACTGCGGGGACTCTGTGTGACTCACTGGTGAGAGAGCCATAAAGGCTGTTGCTACCCTGCCTGGGCCACCAGGCTTTATAGCAGTTTCCATCCTGGCCATTCAACACAGTTCACAAAATTCATGTCTTTTCACTGACACTCTTTTGATAGTTTTTATATAATGCAATCGTTATTGTATTTATAACATGACATTAGGGCCATATAAAGGAATTACCTGAAATACTATATTGCCTCTTGTCCCTTGATGTTTCTACTTCGTTACTTTTTAGCCGTAAAGTTGGTAAATGGAGTCTTACAATTATCTCCCTTTCTTACTACTTGGCTTTAAATTTTTATTTAAATGTAAGAGAATTCCCTCTGTTGAGAGCATTGCAATATTTGAAAATGAACTGGTTAAATTTGCATGCTATCCACATGTGAGGATTAATTCCTGTTTTCTTTAGTCAGAGGCTTACATGACTACAGATGTTCTCCAGTTGCCCAGTTGCCCGTTCTCCTTGTGTGTAATCAGAGCATTTCATCGTGTTCATTCTGTACCGTCTCTTAGGGCTTACAGGTGATGCTTAATGGGATGGATATCTGGAAAGTGCTTAATTTGCTAACAACATGCATACCTACTTATGACTGCAGTGTAAGTGGCTCAGTTCACCAATGTATTTCAACAATTAAACATGTTTATCCCCCTTACCTGGATTTCTTAATTGCTTCAAATTACTTTCAAGAGAACACTTTTGAAGAAGTCCCATTTGTCATTATCATATGTACATACAGTGTATCATGTGCATACAGTGTATCAATATGTCCAGCTAGCACTGCTTAAATAGGGAACTATGAGAAGTGCGGTTTTTTCCCTACGAGAAAGACTCTGCCTTCTATATTTGGTTGACGTGATAATTGTAGAGCCATCAGATTGCAAAACAAAAAAGTACAGTTTACTAGGAACTTATGAGGCATATATTCCTCTGAATGTCCACAAGCTCACCATGGCATTCAGGGGGACATCAGTGTTTATATGATTAATAATAATAGCCTTGAGAAGCCTGAAGCAAGAGAGTCAAGTGGTTCAAGGCAGCTGTCTACACAGTGAGTTTGAGACCCTGTGTCAAAATTAAAAAGCAACAAAAACATTGACCGGAAAATTTAATTTAACAAACAGCTTTAGATTAATAGAAGGCTATCTGGAAGGACTGGGGATACAGTTCGATTTTAACTGAACTCCACTAGTTTCCCTGTGCCTTCTTTGTTGTTGTTCCAATCCCAGATTACAATGTTTACCAATTAAATTGATCTACTTTGTTTCCTCTTCTTCCTGATGACATTTCCCTCAGCTTTTCCTTGGTTTTCATGACCAAGAGCCCTTTGAAGCCTACTGTAGAGGAGTTTTGGAACCCAGCCTTAAGTAAACCCCCTCTGCACTCTTATATTGGACTGGGATCATAGGACTTGAGGGAGACCCCCACTGAGATGGAGTGGCCTCTCATCACATCACATTCTGAGATCAGAGAACCCCAGCTAGTGACTAGTGACACTGACCTTGAAAGGGGTCTCAGCTCTCTCCACCATAGTTCCTAGTTTCCCTTCTCTGATCACTCTATGCCAATGGTTTTCAACCTTCCCAATGCTGTGGCCCTTTAATACAGTCCCTCATGTTGTGGTGATCCCTAACCATAAAATCATTTTCACTGCTACTTCATAACTGTGATTTTGCTACTGTTATGAATCATAATGTAAATAATCTGTTTTCCTATGGTCCTAGCTAACCACTGTGAAAGGGTAGCTCAACCCACAGAGGGTCATTATTCACAGGTTGAGAACCACTACTGTAAATGACTCATGAGTCCAGACCATGCTCAAGATGGGAGTTAGTCTCCACCCCCTGGAGGAATTTGGGGGCGTTTATTAAAAGCTTGATGATATTTGTGATATTCTTGTTCTCACCAGACTTCTAGTTGTTTTCTAGGTATCTGGGGCATGGCTTGCCCAGTGTGTATACCAGCCAGTCACTCTTCAGCTTCCCTTTCTGCAGGTCATTGGAAAAGAATCACTGATACTGATGGAAGGACTGGCATACTGCATCACTGGAACACAACTGGCAGGGCATGGTCAGGCTGGTGAACACTGATATTGGTGGAATGACTTGCACACTGGGCCACTGGGCCACTGGGCCACTGATATTGGTGGAATGGTTTGCACACTGGGTCACTGGAACACTGATATTGGTGGAATGGTTTGCACACTGGGTCACTGGAACACTGATATTGGTGGAATGGTTTGCACACTGGGTCACTGGAACACTGATATTGGTGGAATGGTTTGCACACTGGGTCACTGGAACTCTGATATTGGAGGAATGACTTGCACACTGGGTCACTGGAACACAGCTAGTAAGGCTCAGTCAGGCTAGTTCGACTCACCTGTTGGTCCTCCCCCTGGTGGCCCCAGCCACAATCTGCCCTGCCTCATGTAGGAAAGGGGAACTTTGGGGTAACTGACTGCTGTACTTTGCACAAACAAATGAATTCACCTAGTCGTATCAGCCATGTCTAAATTTTGATGGATTGTGCAGTGTACACTATTGCTTTGGATAGAGAAAAAGTCTGCTACAGAAAAAAAAAAGTTCTGGTAATTGAATATTTTGGGAGAGCCACTTGGAGACTGCAGGTGTTTTATTTTTTCCTTAAAGTTTCCATAGCTAATGAATACCATCTTTGGCTCTTGTCTCCTGGGGGTCCTAAGGATTGAACTCAGGGTTTCCTGTGAGCTGTGCTGGTATGCTGAGTCACACCCAAGACCCATCCCTGGAGCCTGTAGCATAATTACTGGGTATTCCAATCCCATTATTTTCTCCCCATTCCTTCAATAGGTACTACTAGGAATTTTCCATTATTTCCTTCAATAGGTACTACTAGGAATTTTCTAGAATGCTTACTTATTCGTATCAGTAAGAATATATGGGTATTTATCTTGCTCTTCAGGTTGCAGTCCAATAGTGTCATGCTTTCTTGGTTTTGTCTAGCTCTGACCACTGCAAGTTTTTTTCAGGCCAGACATTGTCTATACTCCCCCACCCCACCCCACTTAGGTTGACTCTCTCTTTTTTTGGGGGCGGGTGTTGAGTCAGTTTCTCTGTGGCTTTGGAGGCTGTCCTGGAATTAGCTCTTGTAGACCAGGCTGGTCTCGAACTCATAGAGATCCAATTGCCTCTGCCTCCTGAATGCTGGGATTAAAGGCATGTGCCACCACTACCCGGCAGGTTGACTCTCAATAGTGAGCAATGCCACAAAATAAAAATGTCATTCAAAAGTTAAAACTCCATCAAATTCCAGTACAAATGAACAGTATCTTCCATATTATGACAAATTTTAACATTTTCCTTCCACGGGGATCAGCTAAATTTAAAGTCTCCTAAATCTTATGTGTTAATAGCACAGCCACCCACCTCCTGTGTCTTCAGGAAATTGATTAACATCTTTATAAAGTACAGTAAGAATCTGAAGGATAAACTATTAATGTAGAGATTAAAAAAGAAGAGAATCATGAGCCTGTCTGTGCTTCTTAGTTTTGATCAACTAGACACAAACCAGACTCACTGGGGAAGAGGAAACCCTGATTGAGGAATTGCTTCTATCGGATTGGCCTGCGGGCATGATTGTGGACTGTTTTCATTATTAATGATTGACATAGGAGGGCTAGCTCACTCCTGGCAGTGCCATCCCTGGGCAGGAGATCCTGAGTTATATAAGAAAGCAGGCTGAGCAAGGCACAGAAAGCAAGCCAGAAAACATCATTTCTCCACGGTCTCTGCATCAGCTTCCCTGAACGGTGGGCCGTCACGTGGAAATGTATGATGGAGTAAACCTTCTTCCCCAACCCACTTTTCACCAGTATTTTATCACAACAAAAGAGGTAGACCATACACTGGTGAGGCCTTAAAATGCCTTTTCAAACAATATGTTCTGTTTGTTTTCAAGATTGTTGGTAAAAATGAAGTGGAGATGTATGACAGAGTATTTCTGATTATGAGGCTGTTGGATGAAAAAGGACTCCTTAAGCCTTCCAAGTGGAGGAGACTCACATTGTCAGTTGCAAAGATGTTAAATCCTAATTTCCTACAGAGGTGGCCCTCATCAAGAGGACGGGATGGAGGGAGGGTATGTTCAACAACAGATGAGTGCCTTTCTAGCTTTGGTTAATTCATACATGTAATGAGAGGTTCTTTGTCCCGGCTGGGGTCTCACTGCCCTGGAGCCCCAAATAAACACACAGACACTATATTAATTATGAAATTGTTGGCCAATGACAAGGGATTCTTATTGGCTAGCTCTGTCTTAGTCGTTAACCCGTTTCTATCAATCTATGTATTGCAATGAGACTGTGGCTTACCCAGTAATGCCCCGGCATGGTGTTACTCCTTCGGCATCATTGTGACTCTGTGTGGCGGGCTCACTCTGCCTACTTTTCCCAGGATTCTCCTCATTCCTAGTCTCGCCTATTTTCCTGCCTCATTGGCTGAAAAATGTTTTATTCATTAACCAATAAGAGAAACATATACATAGAAGGACAAACCCATCACATACCCATTTCCTCATAGAACATGTAACCTGTGGAAGTGAAGGGGACTATACCACAGCCTGTATCAAAGCATCAACAAGCCACGGTGGCTACTGGGGCTTGTACAACTGGAGGAATGGAAGAGAAAATGTAAGAGATTGTGTATATAAAGTTTATGCAAGGGGAAGTTTTAATTTTAAAGCTAAAGGTGTGTGTGTGTGTGTGTGTGTGTGTGTGTGTGTGTGTGTGTGTGTGTGTGTGTGTGTGTTTAGTGTGGGTGTCTACAGAGGCAAGAAAACAGCATCAGATCCTCTGGAACTGGAGTTACAGGTGGTTGTGAGCTGCCCAGCATAGGTGCTGGAAACCAAACGTGTGTCCTTTGGAAGAGGAGCAAGCACCTTTGACTGCTGAGCCATGTCTTTGCCATTTGGTTTTGATTTTTAATGATGCAGGAAACAGGGTTAAAGAATGTCAAGTTTCCCCTGATACCCTAGGAGTAGATTTGGATGAATTTGAATGTAATATAAATGATGAAACCATAAAGCTGAGGAAATACTAGTTAATAGTCACCTGACCTGAGACTGAGAAACGGTTTTGTGTGAATGAAGCATGAGGCCAGTCCGTAAGGTAAAACATTGCTAGGCTTGACGATATGAAACTGAAAATGTGTGTTGGAAACCTGGAAATATTTGAAAAGGAAATGGCTGGGAAATAAGGCAATGTCTGTGATAAGCACAGGGCTAGCCTGCTCTTCATCTGAGAACTCTTGGCAACATCTGTGCTAACCACAGGGCTACCCTACTCTACATCTGAGAACTCTTGGCAACATCTGTGATAAGCACAGAGCTAGCCTGCTCTACAAAGAGTCCTCAGATAAAGAACCTGAGAATATGAGCAAAGCTACTTAAAAAATGGTTCATAAGTGGCTATTGAGCCTCCTGAGAGGGCTCATTCACATTAAAACGCAGTGACTGGAAGTAGTGATGATGAGGCAACTCCCCAGTCAACAATATGTCCTGTGGCTGCCAGTGTGATGGCATCCTCACTATTACGTCATGAGGATGTCTGCTCCCGATGACTGTGTCTTGTCCACATCACTCTGATGAATTGGGGTCCACAGATGAGTGCTCCCCTCA